GAAACGATACGCCTATTTCAGTAGTTCTGTATTTTGAACGCTCTATAGAAAATATAAACATCTATTATTTATCATACTTTCAGGTTGTGATTCAGTGGAGCAGCTGGTCTAAATAAACTGTACTGAGCCATCTTTCAAGAGCAAGTGTATTGTGAATCCCGCGTTGAACTCCCCGAGATTAGAGAAGCAGTCGTCAGTAGAATGACGTGTTTGTGGGCGGGGTCAAGTTGTTCGCGGCCGGCCAACGTAGAACATAGGCGCGCATTATGCAAATGTGTTACCCCATGACGTGTAGCCGTCACGGAAGTGGGATTCGAATTACTAATGACTCGTTTCAGCTGTTCAGAGTCAATTCTTTATTTTGGGAGAAAATAACTTTATTTATCGTGCACTTTTACATTTATGTTTACATTCACATACAGCTACATTAGACACTGAATGAAAGGCAATATTGGAAATGGCATAATAGGGGCACTTTAAAGTTGTGGTTTGGTGATTTCGATCCCTAGGTTTATGCAGCTGTAGCAAAAGTAGCATTATGGAAAAAATAATTGCTATTCTAAAATAACTCATGCTAAATCAATTTTTACACCACTAGATTTCTGTTGAAAATAAATTGGGATTTACCTCTGATTTAGAGTGTAGTTTGGGGCATCAGCTTCAACAGACCATCTCAAGTCAACTCAACGCCAGTCGCTTCCAGTGTAGACATGCGTTCGCGCACATTAATATATGCAGATCAGATGGTAGATGAGATAAATCTTACTTTAAATCCATTTTATTCCTCGTCAACTCGTTTTTCCCAAATTAGATGAGGCTGGTCAGGATTAGGATCAGGTCTTCTGTTATAAACATCACTTGGTAGGTCCTGAAATGATGTTAGATTATGGACGATCAAAGACTTTTTCATGTGGCCAAGCCTGTTGAGGTTAATGTACACCCTATATTGTAACATATTTACAGGTAAAAGTACCCCCGATGAGATAAAGAATGTGTGGATATTTGGCCACTCACTTGTGTTTTGGGCTGAGAAGAGGGCTACCTCCCCTGAGTATGGAGTGCAGTTGGGCATGCACCCAGACTCGGTGCGCATCTGGTGGAAGGGCGTGCAGGGCATGACGTGGCAACAGCTTGTACCTTTGCTGCTCCAGCGTAAAGACAACTGGCCCAAACCTGATGTACTTATAATCCACTTGGGTGGAAATGACATAAGCACAACTGCTCCAGAGGCCTTTATTGAGACTGTGAAGAAAGACATGTCCTCACTGAAGAGCATATTCCCCAAATGCCTGTTGGTGTGGTCCAGCATCCTTTCACGGCAGTCCTGGAGGGGTACAGAAGCCAGCAAAGAAATGGACATTATCCGCATGGCCATTAATAAGAGCATATGTACAATTATGACAGAACTTGGTGGCTCTGCTTTGAGACACGGCAACATAACGCCCAGTTCGGGACTCTACAGGCCAGATGGGATTCACCTCTCTGGGAATGGTATCGATATCTTCAATCTGAACCTGCAGGCTTTTCTGGAGAAATGGGAGCGTAAGACTAATAAGACAGAGACATCTGACCCATCAGTTTGAGATGAGGAAATTCCTGTAACGGTCATTTGTTTTGTTCAGCTAATGCGGATGTCAGCTTGTACAGTGTCATTACGTTCTTGTATATCCTTTGTTGTCATTTTGTTACTTCAGAATTGATTGTTATACAACCTGTGTAGAATTAAAGCAGATTTGTTTTCTATACATGCGTATTTTGGAAGAATGTGTTAGATTTTAGGATTTACTTGTTCTGTTTTATTCATTCAGTTTAATGACAAAAACAAGAAAATTGAAATTATTCCATTTTAATACGGAATAAACTTTTCTTTATATTTGAGATCTCGTGTATGATATAAAGAATGTTCTCCACACCTCCACTTGCATGTTTTTAAGTGTGTTTTCATCAGGAAGCATAAGCCCCATTGAATGCTTTTTTTCTATCATTAAATCTGATCCACAAATCAGCACAGGAAATGGCAAAAAGTTCAGTCAGTCTGGGTTGGTTAGTAACATATGCCTTGTCCAAATACCCACACTTGCGGTCTTTGCACTTGACCACTTCTATGACGTATTTCCTGTATTTGGTTCAAGTGAGCATGAAGACCATAAGTGTGTGTCGAACTTTTCAGTACCTGATGGGACACACTCATAGTGTTGTAAAAATGCAAGTGTTTACAGAGTTTTATTTTCAATACTTTGCATTTTTAAATCAACTTCTAAATGTCTGTTCAGTAGTCACTAAAACAGATGACACAATTTAATTTCTGGTGCTTCAAATTAAGTGATAAAAAGCAGTTCCAAATGTTGTACAAAATAAATATACTAATCTTTGCAGCAATAAAACGTGTAGCACTTTGTTTTACTACCAAATTATATGTACTATCTTATTATTGATCATATTTATCTTACATTGGAAAGGTTTCCGTGACCTCTCTCGCGATCTTGGCAAAAAGTCTCACGATTTATTTCCAGAATGCATGATGGGATACACTAAGCCTAATACACTAAGATAGTGTGGATTTAGTGGGTGTTAAGGGCACTGCGCTTTGGCGTTTTTAAGACCTGGGACAGTCTTGCGCACTTCCTGTCGAGCACACGCGCTCTCAGGTGGCCAAGACCTCAAGTGGGGGTATTTGGACAAGGGGAGGGTCTCTCAATAGTGCCAGTGACTTCTAATTCTTTAGATCAGTGAAATCCAAACAGAATATGTGTACCACAGGGAATACTTGGGAAGATTATGATTTTGTTTTTATTAGTTGTATTGTCGTGTAAAAATCTGAACCAATGACCGATTTTGCTTGTAGTTGATCTGTCATTCTTGTTGTGCTTCTATGGTATTTACATTCCACCATAAAGAGTGTAAATGCTTATAAAAGATAAATAATACTTTTTAGAAGAAATTGCCGGGAGTCTGCTTAGTCATGGAAACAAAGCGACTTCATAAACAAAACAAAAAGATGCACCCATATTTATACTTTGCAGAATATATAAAAATAACATGGGTTACGTGTTTTTTTTGTTTTTTTTTTACATAACAGGCTCTAGGCAGATAATTTCCCGTTATTAATCACTTCCCAAAAGACTAGACTGCTTAAAGGGATAGTTCAATCAAAAATGAAAATTCTGTCATTAATTCCTCACCCTCATGTCGTTCCAAACCCGTGAGACCTTCGTTCATCTTCAGAACACAAATTAAGATATTTTTGATGAAATGACCCTGCATTACAGCAACACAACTGACACGTTCAAGGCTTAGAAAGGTAGTAAGGTCATCATTAAAATAGTCCATGTGACATCAGTGGTTCAACCGTAATTTTATGAAGCTACGAGAATACTTTTTGTGTGCAAAGAAAGCAAAAATAATGACTTTATTCAAAAATTTCTTTTCTTCCGTGTCAGTCTCCGCCGCCATTCAGGAGAGTATCACGCATGCGTGTGATGCTGCTGACGCAGGAGCCAGCATTCTGCTGCTGTGACTTGTTTACAAGCAGAAGACAACACACGCTGGACATAAAACAGTTTTCGTAAACGTGTGAAGATTTCGGCAGAGAGGATGGCTTGCAATTTTTTGCCCAGCCTTACTTACAGACGATGAACAAAGAGAGATGGACATATGTCAGATCGCAGGATCCTGCGTCAACAGCATCACACGCATGCGTCGTGGTACTCTCATGAATGCGCAGTCTAAAGGGGTCATATGATGCGATTTCAAACTTTCCTTTCTCTTTGGAGTGTTACAAGCTGTTCGTGAATAGATAAGATCCCTAAAGTTGCAAAGACTAAAGTCTCAAACCCAAAGAGATATTCTTTATAAAAGTTAAGACTGGTCCATGCCCTCCTAAAACACCTCGTTTAAACACGCCCCCACATATCTACGTCACTATGTGAGAAGATTTGCATAACGCCGCCCAAATGTTCACGCAAAAAAAGAAGGCTTAACTTTATTGTTGCTGCCACCATGTTGTGAAGACACTGTGTGTTTAGTTGCAAAAGCGAAAATACTTTGTTTGGTCTTCCAAAAGAGGACACGACTAGAAATCAGTGGTTAAGTTGTATTTACAACACTGTTCCAGAACAGTTCAA